CCGGAACATCTGAAGAATGCGCGCCAGTCATCATTTCAAACACCTCTGGCGTTAGACTCTTTGCACGCGCTACCTGTTCGGAATGAACGGACACCACCTACCGTGGCGAAACCAGACAGGAACACCAGACAACTCACAAGTGATTGCTGCTACAAGAGAGAACGAGAACAACCTAGAACGACAATTTGGCACACACTAAATCCCGACACCAAAATCATGCCCATGCTGCATCCATGTAATATAACAAAGCTTTCAAACTCGAGTCATCTTACAGGCAATCAGCGACAAGAAAATATTAGAATGAAAGGACGAGAAACATGCAGAGCAAGGACAACGCGTTCAAGAAGAGGGTTAACACGCCACGAATCGAAACCATATACACACACCAGAGTACTACAAGAACTTACAAATTCGAACGGGTGTCACAACGAGCAGTCACAATATAGCCGCTTTGAATCTTCAACGATTCATCCCGAACTTAGAAAGAAGCACATCTCGACTCAATGCAATGGAGAGACGAAGGCGGTCATCGAGAGCCTTGGGAAACCAAGGGCGTCCCTACTCAGTACATCAAGATTGTCTTTCGTGAGCTCTTAACAGCAGCTTTACGACAGATCTCGCATTCTACAAGGAGGTCAGTCATCGACGTTAAGAGAGGGGGTTCACAGGGCGGACACCAATCTCGCCAAAACTCTTCGCGCCGCATCTCGGAACGGTCATTGCGTCAACTGGAATGGAAGACAATGGAGTGAGGTCGACGGCCGCACTACACCACCTTCGTTTTTGCTGCGACATGCGTTCTTATAACGACGAACATCGAGGCAAGCGGAAGCGAATGCATGGCTGATTTTCGACTGAGCTGCTGGTAAGGTTCGGTCTGCAGCTGAACCTTAACGAAGACGATGTTTATGAGAAACGGATTGGTTTCTTAGATGCACCCATCTCACGCTCACGGAACGAACATACGAATGGCTCCAGCACGTGGAACCTAGGTTCGGGAAATCAATATGATGAACGATCTTAGCTCCAGAGCTGCGTCAGGAGGAAACGAAGAGGCTTTGGGGAGACCGTACAAGCAACATCGAGGGAGGAGTTGAAGAAGACGAAGAACACCGGCTCCGTGCCCACTCTTCGATTCGCTGTCCTTTGGCCTGCCATAACCTGACGCCTCAGAGACTTTGGACCTGCGCAGGCAGGACGAGCATGCCGGTCAGAGTTATCCAAGCGCGTGCTCGAAGAGGACGATGCTAAGCAGTTAACCTGTACACGCAAGTGCAGAGGGAGAATCGGACCCAACCCCGAACAGTGCCCGAACTACGCCAACGATCGAAGATCAGGGACGCTGCCGATTTTCGCCAAGAGAACGAAGATTAAGGTGGGCGGCACGTCATGCGCATTTCGCAGAATGACCGGTGCGACCAGAAAGCGGTTACCGACTGAGATCCCTCGGAGACGTCAAACGACACCTGGACGGACGCCGGCCCGATGCGTCATCAGACTTCCTTCTACGAAGCTCATCTGAACGAAGGGAATGAAAGGATCACCAGTGTCCCTTCGAGCGAGGAGGTCCACGGACAACCGCTTGCAGCCGACAGCGCGACGAATGGAAGACAGTGACTGCTGGCGCCCGCTCGGAGCAATGACATGATCAACGGGAACGACAGGTGATACAGGTGAACATTTCATTTTGTTACCGTAATTGTGGGCCGCTTGATTGTATACGTCTCATCATTACTACTGTTGTCACATTATGTACTTCACCTTTCTCGTCATCATGTATTCGCCTCTTAAATATTATGCAATGTATTGGTATACACATACAGGTTGGTGCCCCCGTCAACGCCGGCGCTCCTTCTTTCCTGCGCCACTTTAACGGCTTTAGATGGTCATGTTGATACTACACAGCACTGGGTTCTGTTAGGAGATTGATTAGCTTTTTCCGCCTGCCTCTACCGAACACCTCCGCGCACTCTACTCCAGCTGCGCCTGCAGCACCATGTGCGAAAGTAAAATGGAAAGCGTTCTCAGATAAATGTTCAATATTAGCCCGTTGGGGGTTGTTATCGCCATAATGCTACTGCAAACATTGATAAACTTTCAACGTTCTGATAAGCTACCACGAATGGGTTTCTAGCGGGCCTAGTTTATTCTATTAGCTCTCTTAATACACTCACTTTCTTTTTGCGGACGGACAGACCAATTCGACCGGCCTACACTTTCCAGACTTGTTGCTTCGAGAGAATGGATGCTGCCGGATAAAATACGTATGAATACTTGGGCATGCGTTTGGACGATTAACCAAAAATCATTCGCCGCTAAAATTACTCGATACTCGAGTTGCATGAATGGTTTATGTACACACAGCACTTTAGCTAGAGCACTTCACTGCCGCTTATTCCAAACAGGTGAGATACAGGCCACAATGGAGTCTTATTTGATAACGCGACAGTAATCATTTCACGAAGCAGTTATAGTTTTAGCGGCTGAAACACTGAAGCATCCAACAAAAATTGTCCAGTCCTATCCAAGACTTGCCGCGCATGCGCGCGGTAGCGGAGCGGAGCTAAAACTGGCTGTATAATACAATAGCTTTGTACCTAGCACATTTTTCGCGGAACGCGAATGCGCGTCCAAGTAGCAGCTAAGTCCCTCTTCTCTCGGCCTTTGAGCGCAGTCGACGTCAGCAACTCGCTGCCCCTCTAATATGCGCCATGCATGCTTGTAATTTTAATTACGAGAGCCACTTGGAATTAAAATCTATACATTTCTATGGTATACTAAAGTCTTTCTTAATTAGTTATGTAAAGCCTGACTGACCTGACGAAACAATCCGTCCCCATGAAGTTGCTGCCCTAATGGAAGCCCGGCCTTGCAAGCATGTTCTAGTTTATCAACGCACTGACCTGAACTTGAAATATGCGAAACTCCCTGCGGCGCCCTCGCAACGCTCGTTCACACCGCGTTGTATTGTGAGAGGTAGAGAAGCTGCACGGAACTCAAATAGATGACTTCATTCATTTTTTACCACAATGTCATGTTTCTACCAGCGTCTATGGTAGACGGTCGAGATCCTTTCTCCAGCTATCTAGCGAAGCTTACAGGTGACGCCGCTTGTTACCGATTCTGCTTCAGGATGTACTCGGCTTTCCAGCTCAAAATAATTCTATAATCCTGTGAGTTAGTCAGAAATGCTTGATGTGTTGACTACAACGCGCGTTTTGGCTTTTTGGCAACGTGGGACACGAGCAGTCTGAAGGGCGCGTCCTTTTTCCGCAACCGAGTCTCGCTGTCTAAAAAGGGCTTTTTTGGAACTCAACATTAAAAGCAGCGAAACAAGAACACAATGTTAAATGGAAGTCAGTAACGATCGATGGCGGTCTCTCTGCCTCTCTAAGCGAGATAGTGATAACATTCGCGCAAAGAAAGCGGCCGTAATCAAGGTGGATATAGGATCACGGCATTTATAGTTAGCTGTATGTATGGTCCATAGAATCAGTACAAAGAGCTTGGAAAGAAGTTATGCTCTAGAAAAAGGGATGACAAGGTAAGAAGAGCATTAGCGTCTAGCCATCGTCAGCATGTTAACATTTTCCAATATAGATTGTGGGCATGCCAATACATGGTCCGCTGGTGACACTTGACTTTGAGGCAGGGTCGGTCCCATCGTTGCTACTTTCCGAAAAAATTTTACGACCTCCCTCCCCCAAGGTGGATTTGATATGACCCCCTTTTCGACACCTCGACCACCATCATCGTCTCTATAGTACTTATTTCTGATACCACTCAACTTACCAAACTCCGCCCACTTTTTCCTCCAAAAATGGCGTCGGGGAGGGGGTATATAGTCTCTCTGAAACGGTAAATGTCTCCGAAAATTTCCTTCTACTTTTCAACTCATTTTTTACCTATACTCCCCACGTGATTTCAAGCGACTAAAGTGAGTACGACCCCCCCTCCAAGCTAAACCAAGTAGACCCCCCGTTGGTACTTGTACCAACGTAGGGTTGATCCTGCTTTGAGGTGTGTAAAGAGTGATACAATTCAGCAGCAACAGACATGGGCCAAGACGAGCGTAAATTCAAACTTACCATTGAACTCATTTTCTGAAGGGGCGTTAACCCTCGATAAATAAATTTTTGTGCTTATTTCTTGCGTTTACTATGAATTCAGTTTATCGAGAAAGAAAATTACAGAACGTATAGTTCGAAGTGATAACATCAAACAGAAGCTCTCGTTAGGCATTATGAGCTTTAGTCAGTCATAGTAACTGAGATATCTGATTCGATCACGGGAAATTATTGAATTATGAATAGAACAGTACACAATCAAAACTCATGAGCTGTTCCATGACAAAAGTGATAAAAATTGACTTAGACACTATGCAATGACTAGCGAGCCTAAGCCCATCGACATCTCATATAAATATTCCGACAACGAGACGGGAGATGTCCAATACCCCTCCTAAGGTCAGGTCACCAGAGCTGCACGATTCTGCCAGGATCATTGAAGCCAAGGTAGGAAGCTTGAGTTCAGGCGTTGGATGGCTTAGGCTTGCAGCACCGGTTAGGTTAGACCTATGATCGTGCCTAGGCTGAGTTCTAGGTTGCTACTCGAGCAGGAGTTTCAATCGTCAGTGACCTGAACCTTGCATGAGGAGCAACAATCACGCACCAAACGAGTCACTCCAAAAACGGCTGGAAAACGATTAAGAAAAATTTCAAAACCTCAAGCCACTGGTATGATACATGGGCGCAGTCGGGTAGGGAACTGCAGTCTCAAAGAAACTCATATTGAGAGCAACAGTACTAATGAGCTTTAATGTTCGAAAGCCACACATGCTCAACGAGACCATCAATGAAATTTTCGGTGTGTAAGAAGCTGCAAAAAAAAATCGTGAAGTGCTCAGGACGATGGGGGGCAGTTTCTTTTCCCCGAGGTGGACTCTGTGCATCTTTGGATTGCGCTGCCTGAGCAACTGTGAAGACGTTCTGCAGAACGACCTAGCCTGAAATTGATTCGATTCGACTTCTGATAAGATTGCCAAGAGTCAAAGGGGTAAATACCGCGTCGGCGTCTGCGCTGTACAGTGTTCTCCTCCATTGAAGAGCATGGCTGGACTCGCGCGGTCTTCACATTCTTCAACCGGTCGATGGTACGTGTCTCAGGATCAGAGAAAGCCTGAAAAAGGCGTTTTAGAAGACTACGTCATTCTTACAGAAAAAGACTTAATGTCCAGTATAGTTTCACTCTTATTTTTTATTGAATTTAGGGATGTCATTGAATTGGAACAGATCACTCGATATTCAACAGACACCCTCTTAACTATCCAAGAACAGACCTTCTTAACATACGATATTAAGTTCACATACGTTGACCTAAAATGTACATATTCCACAACGGAGGCACTTGTCCGAAAGCGCAATCCGATCTTCAGATCCTCCTCCAACGTTTCTATGTCAATGACGGGATGGAGAACATGCGTGAAAGGCTCGGATTCTACTGAGGCCTGAAATCTACGTTCTCAAGAATACAAATCATTCATCATCCAATTTATTTAGGTGCTATAAATTGATCCCAAGATGAAGACTTAATCGAATCAAAACCCATGTCAAGTGTCAATTGAGAGCCTCAGAGGCTCCCAACCAACAATAACCCACAGGCTCGTAATTGACAACTTGCGAGATTGCACATCACAAATACAGAGTAGCTGAATCAATCGGTGCTGCACCTCCCGACCGCCCTCATTAACCGCGATGAACACGGCATGAGGCGGCAACGCATCTAGTGGTCTCGAGATGTCCTGCCTCCCGTTTGGCACGCAGGTGTTGCTCAGACTTTGATCTAGTGTCTTTAAAGCTCCCATAAACGGAGCGCCTCCAATTTCGAATCAGAATCTTGTGGATATCTAAATTTCAGAGTTATCGCATACTTACGGACGGCTTACGTGGTGATAGAGTTATAACGATAACAAAGATATTGATAGCAAAACAGGAAAATCGCAAACGCGAAGAAAAAAAGGGAAAGAAAGTCGATCAGCTCTAAAAGCAGCAGCGAGTTAAGCGACAATGTAAACAGTAGTGAAGAGGCGAAAAGAGCTGATCCACCCCTATCCATGAGAAGAAACTTCATTAGTGTTAAGCGACAGGCGCTTGCATTTTAACAAAATCTCTTTCATTACGATGCCACATCATATGGAGTGTGCAAACGACTTGAATGTAGGCTAATAAAAAGAACGTACTCGCAAAAGCAGGCTTGTCACATAAGGCCGACCGCGTTGAACACAAATCGTGTCGAACGACTTATGACACGAACACCTGGAGCTGGATGTTAAATGGATTAGGTCAATCACCGAAGGTCTAGGCCTTTGATATCCTTTCTATACACTTATGCACTCCAATCTTGATACAGCGACAACCTTGATGTTTGATGCGTGTCTCGTTCTGTCTGTCTGTTCTGGTAAAAAAGAAGTGAGATGCAAGGCAATGGCCATAAAGCCCATAGCTAAAGAAGCTGAGGACCCATAAGATTGCCGGAGGGGGGTCCGCACGATGTCAACATTTTGTGAAGGGAACGGCGTAGCCGATAGCTCAACCCTAAAACACTGGAACCTACTGAGCACACTCTCACAGTGGTTCTCTAAGTCTTAGAGTGAGGGAGCACAATGGTGCTTGCAGCGTGCAGTGGCAGCTGGAGAGGCAGAGCAAAGAGGGGGCGTTGGGTGGGAGCTATTGGTTAATTCACTACCTAAAATTGAATGATCGAGCGCAAAGGAAAACAGAACGATGTTCACAGTATCTCAGAAATAGTTGAAAACGATTTATCGTAGAGAGCTGAAAAGAAACTCGCCTGCTAGTGCTACTCGTCACTTGACGATGTCGTCACTTGGAGCAATCTGACCTGAGCCAGACTCTTCACGAACCAAGAATCGTCGTGTAGCACAAAAATGTCGCCATCTTCAGTGATCAACCAGATGCCATGCGATCGTCGCATTTGACAGAGTCGAGGTAATCAATCTCAACCATTGCAGTCAGAAACGGTAATTGAAGAGAGGATCAGGGATCGTCAGGAGATCTCTCAATCGTTCTGTTTAATCGGCGGGGGTGTTACTGGGGGTGTCCAGGTATGTTGCAGGAACAGATCCGCTCATCTATGCAGAGATACAGGGGCTGCCGGGCATAAAATATGGTGGCAACAGGGAG